CCTGAGCGCTCACACCCACACGGGGCACACCTGAGCGCTCACACCCACCCCACACGGGGCACACCTGAGCGCTCACACCCACCCCACCTGGGGCACACCTGAGCGCTCACACCCACCCCACCCGGAGCACACCTGAGCGCTCACACCCCCCGGAGCACACCTGAGCACTCACATCCACCCGGAACACACCTGAGCGCTCACACCCACCCGGAGCACACCTGAGCACTCACACCCACCCCACCTGGGGCACGCCCGAGAGATCACACCCACCCCACCCGGGGCACACCTGAGCGCTCACACCCACCCCACCGGGGCACGCCTGAGCGCTCACACCCACCCCACCGGGGCACGCCTGAGCGCTCACACACCCACCCCACCCGGGGCACGCCCGAGAGCTCACACCCACCCCACCCGGGGCACGCCCGAGTGCTCACACCCACCCCACCCGGGGCACGCCCGAGTGCTCAGAGCCGCACGCCTGGCACACACGCCTGGCACAGTGGTACAGGGTGCCCAATGGCCCTGCAGAACCGCCGCCTTTGGGAAGGAACTTCACGAAGGGCTAAGGACACCAGCAACTCCAAAGCCACTCAGATGACCCCGTTGGTCAGGGGTGTGGCGGGCGCTTGTAATCCCCAGCTACTGAGGAATGGGGTCAGGAAGGAGCCTGGGCAAAGAGTGGGAGGTGGACGTGGTGGCTCAGCCACACACGGGTCCAGGTAAAGAAACTGTGAAACTCATTTGAAAAATAACTAAAGCAAAACAAAAATGGCTCAAGTGGTGGGTCACCTGCCTAGCCAGCACAAGGCTCCTGAGCCCAGACCCTAGCACTGTCAAGGTGAAAGCAGCCTGGACGTGACACTTCTGCAGTGGTAGTAATTGCAGACAATGACCCCTTTCTGCTCATCAGCAAAGATGCTGCGGAGAAAAAGGCATCTTAGCAGGACTGCATCCAAAGCTCTTAGGGGTGCGGGCGCGCCTGGCTCCTGCAGCTGTGCAGACCTGCTCCGGCCGCACGCAGACCAGGGCCTCCGCTGTGGACAGCGGCCGGATGCACGTCTGTGTATTCTCGGCAGATCTCATTTCCCAGTTGGGGACAGGGAGGCTGTAGGTCAGGTTCCCACGCGGCGGCACACCCCGTACAGGGCAGGTAGAGGCCTGGGGGCCCGTCACCGTTTCATGGCAGCATCGGTGGTAGCAGAAGGCAGCCCCAGAAAGACACGTAGTGAGAGGCGGCAAGTGGACCCCCCAGAGGCCCCGCGCACTCCGCACCCAGCACCCTCGGAGCGCCGGGGCAGGGTGGGGGGTCTGGCTGTCTGGAGAGCTGCCCACCCAGGCTCTTGGCTGCTGTTTATTTCTGGCTTGGTCCCTACTAGTTCTCTTTATGTCCTAGATAGAGCTTTGCTGAAAATGCATGTCACAAATAGTCATCTGCCTTTGGCTCAGCCTTCTACCCTCTTAATGGTGTCTTTTGGTGAATGGGCCTAAGCGTTAATGTAATTGATCAATGCTTTACCATATGTTTTAGTTTTTTTTTTTTGTCGGTCGTGGGGTTTGAACTCTGGGCCTGGGCGCTGTCTCTCAGCTCTTCAGCTCAAGGCTAGCGCTCTACCACTTGAGCCACAGCGCCACTTCCGGCTTTTTCTTTCTCTGTGGTGCTGAGGAATCGAACCCAGAGCCTCACACATCTAGGCAAGCACTCTACCACTGAGCCTCTCCTGGCCCCCATATGTTTTAGTTTTAAGAAATCTTTTGTCTTAACCCAGGGCCATGCACAGTCTCCTAAACTATGCTCTACTTGAATTTTTGTGTGTGGTATGAAGTGAGGGCCATTTGCTCTTAAAAAATAAATACTCAGTGACAGCGCCCATATAGAGAGGGATGGGCTTCTGCAGGACAGTGCCGTGGTGGGGGCCTAACTGGGTCCCCATGGTCTGCCATGGTGCCATCCACCCTGGGTTAGTGTGAGCACGCACAGACTGCACCACGGTCCTCATGATGTAGCTTTATTAAAGATTAATCCTGTCTCTGTGTGTGCGTGTGTGTGCTGTCCTGGGGCTTGAACTTGGCCTGAACACTGTCCCTGAGCTTTGATGCTCAAGGCTAGGGCTCCACCACTTGTGCCACAGCCCACTTCTGGCTTTTTGGATGATTAATTACAGATGAGTTTCAGAGATTTTTCTGCCCCAGCTGAGTTCAAGCCATGATCCTCAGATCTCAGCCCCCTGAGTCACTAGGATTACAGATGTGAGCCCATCAGCATCAACTGAAAGCTTACTTTTTAAAAAAATTGGTAGAAATTATAAATGCAATTTATTTCTAGGTTAATATTAACTACAGAGTTGGTAACAATAATGTTCCTTCAGAAGCAATAATTGAGTAAATTGAACCAAAGAAAGCCATGCCATGTCTTCATTAAAATTATTACTATTATAAACATGCTCTCCAACAACCACCAGAGCCACGGTGAGAGACACAATCACAGACACACTTCACTTCTGCAGAAGGGTGTGCCTTCAGCCAAAACCCGAGGAGCAGGCACACCCAGCAGGCCGGCGGCGCCTGCGAACCCCTTCTTGATGACAGCTCTTATCAGCACTGTCTTGGATATTTTGGGGTTTGTGGTTCTTTACTTTTCTAAAAAAATTCATCTGTTCAGGACACACACACACTTACACCCATGTGCACACACTCTGTTGGATTACGTGGAACCTCATCTGAATAGAGTTGGGGACTTTGTACTGCATCTTCAGATTCATCGGTTTGGCACACACGTTCACGTCTATCTCAGCACCTCATTGTTTTCTCTCTCAAGTTTGCAGAGCTTTCGGAAACCCCTTGTGACAGTCACAGTATTGAGCAGCGTCGGGCACTGTTTAGCCCTCTGCACAGAGAAGGGCAAACACCCTTTCCAGGCTGACTTTGCTAAACGCTGGTTTTGATGGTGTGCGTGCATGCTAGTTTGTTTGTCCCTCCTCTGTGCTGGACCGTGTTTTGGTGCTGCCTCCAGCTGGCTGCAGGCGTGCCTGCCGGGCCGGGGGCAGCACCTGGCTAGTGACCCTCCATCACAGCCACAATTTCCAAGAAAAAAAATCAATGTATCATTTTTTCCATGTTGACTTTCAAAGTTGTCTTAATTGCTGACTCAAGCTCATTTATACTTTGGCTGGGCATTTTTTGCTTTGTATGGTTTCAGGTCTTTGATATTTGTTAAAACTTGAGGCAGTTGCACTAAAGACATAGAAGGCCATTTTATGTTCAAGTCAAAATTATCAGTGAGGATTTAAGAAGTAGGCATATTGCCGCGTTGGCCTTCTGAGCATGAGCATAGGACTTAGGTAAGTAGACCATAGATTATTATTGATACATTTGCAAGGCCTGCATTCTGGCTGTGACTGTGGTTGGCTGTATTACTGATTCACGGAGTTCCAGGGAAAATGGGCTGAGCCCATCAGGAGAGAGCAGGAGGGTTACAATGGAAAAATAATATGTTGTGAATTTTGCTTAAAGGATATGGAATAGTGATATAGTTAACTGAGGTATTAGAACTACAAGTTAAAAAAAGTAATTAATTAAAGCTTGAAAAGTTTATCAGAGCTATCTAGGGAAAGGAAATCCAAGCGAAACCCACACCAGCAACAGCCTGTTAAGGAGCGGCAAGAACAGTCCTACCTCATTCTTTTGTGCCATCACGTCCGGTAAGGAGAACTTGGAAGAAATGGAGATGTTGTTTTCCATGCTGAAACTCTCCCATTTACTGATGATCAGCTGCCGGAACTCGGGTGTCAAGGCCCCACTGTAGACAATGCACGCCGCGGCCAGAAGCGTGTCCCCCAGCGTCCCTTCCAGCTTGCAGTCAATCTGCTCAATCGTTTCCTGCCATCGTATCTAAACAGTACGGCAAAAATGAGTGGTGTGCTGGGAGATGGCGCAGGGGGAGGTGATAGTGCATGCTTTCATGAGGAGGAGCACTTGCCCTGTTCAAGGTCCTCCCAAACCCTGAGGGCGACGGGCAGGTGGGGCTAGGTGTGACCCCAGTGCTCCAGAGTCTGAAACAGGAGGGACAGCGTCTGAGGGCAGCCTGGGCTGCACAGTGAGCCCCAACTCACTCTCTGACCCCCCAGTCCTATGTCCATGCCTGGTGTTCCAGAACACTAAAGAACCCAGGCTTCCGGTCTCCTGGCTGCCTGTGGCCCATGTGTTGGATCAGTGCTGCACACACCCAGATCCTCAATCACTGGGATGGAACACAGCAGGGAAGCAGGCTTAAAAACTTATCACAGTAACTTGATAAGTTACTTAAGTGCCTGGACCGCTTCTCAGCACAGCCGGGGCCTCTGAGGGCCACGGCTTCCGGGTTGGCAGGGTTGTCATAGCCACCGCTCCCTGCCCCACAGGTCTTCCTTGCTATGTATTTATTTAAATAATTACATTAGAATTACCTTGAGAATTTTGTAAGTGCTGAAGTGTACCTTAACCAAGATTTTTGCCAGCTTACTTGAGACTCAGATGAGTTAGAGGCAAAATTAAAAAGAGATGAGGGTCAGAATACTGGCAGAAGGAAACGCAGTGTTCCTTTACTTCTGTCACTCGGCTCCTCGCTCCTGCCCACCCGTGTCTTACATCCTTGGCCCAGGTGTTCCAGGATGAGGAAGGAAAACTCAAGAGTGCTCGGGACCTCATCACCGGACAGAAGCAAGAGCAGAGTGCCTGCTCAGCCTCTGCGGCCTGCCAGGGCCAGACTCCCCGCGAGTAAGGAAGGGGCTGGGGGCAGAGCCCAGGGCGGGGCAGCGGTGGGCAGGGCCGGGCGCAGCGTGCCTTCTCCTCCCCCAGCACGCTCAGGAGGACGGCCGCACACTGCAAGCGCCTGGTGGCCAGTGTCCTCCGGTTCGCTAAGAGCTCTTGTTCAGCGACAGTGTCTTTGTAGGATGCCTGCAAAGCCTGCAAATGTTCTTCCACCTGAAGAATAATCAAAACAAGACAAAACCCCTCCTGTTACTTTGTGTACAGGTTCTTTCGCACCACACTGTGCACCCGCGCACGCAGATGCCCAAGCGCGTGTTCCGAAATGCTACCTTCCTCTCTCAAAACGTCCTTGCCCTGCTGTCATGTCAAGGGCCATCATTCGCTGTCTTTTCCCATCACATCTAGATTTCCAGCCGGCGTTGGCGTGCACCGCCCCTGCCTGTCTCCAGCAGCGCAGCCCCGGGAACCACGTCTCCCCACACTCCCTACGTGCTTCACGAGCATCTTTTACATGGGGCTCAGGTGGACAAAAGGTCCACTTCTAAAATAGGAAGTGTGTGTGGAGTGGGGGACACCCTGGGGAGGGGCCTGCTGGCACAGGGGATATGCGAGTCAGGGCTCAGGGCTCAGGGCCCCCCCCCCGCGCACTGCGCGCCCCGTGCGCCGCTGTCTCTGGGCTCAGGGCTCAGGGCCCCCCGCGCACTGCGCGCCCCG